CCAAATAAAATGGAAGGTTGAAGTTACTATTTTCTGTTTTCCTATGAGAACAGCCTTGAATCTTTATGTTTAACAGTCTCTGCCTTATTGATTTAGAATCTTATAATTAAATATATTCAGAACATATTTATGAAAAGTTGTTTGGGACAATTCACTTCCATCTCTTGATTGATTAAAAAAGGTGACCATGATAGCAATAGCACTTAGACTTATACACTGCTTTACAGTGCTTTACAGTCCTCTTTAAGCAGTTTACAGAGTCAGCATATTGTCCCCAACAATCTGCATCCTCAATTTACTGATATCGGAAGGATGGAAGGCTGAGTCAACCTTGAGCAGGTGAGAATCGAATTGCCAAACTGCTGGCAGCCAGCAGTCAGCAGAAGTAGCCTGCAGTACTGCATTCTAACCACTGCATCACCATGGGTCTCACTATGCATGTATCATGTTTATAATTATCACCAACTCTAAAATCCAAAACTACAGACCATGAAACGGTATTCATGACAAACCATAAAAATTACAAGATAAAAGTAATTGGTGCCCACACCAGTTGAAGAAGGCCATACAAACTTTGAAAAGCCCTGTAGGAGGATTCCCATTTTATATGCCTTATAAATGATGCTAGTTGAGGTATAAGCCAGACCATCAGGTATAAGCTCTTCCATAAACAAGATCCTGGTATGGAAAATCTTTGTCTCATGTCTTCACTCAGGTAATCTTCTGTAGGTACAAAACCCATCCCCAACTGGGGCAATACATTGGATAAAGAAATTCTACCAAGAGGTAATGATGGGCTTTAGTGGTTAAACCAGCACTTTGAAATAGGTTAACATAGGTGTAATGCAGATATTATATACTACAGTGGCTGTTAGCCATCAGTGCTGAGCAGTGTTCAAAGTTAATTATTTGTAATTGCAGTAGTCTAACTGGACAGTATAAAAGTATAAAAGCATGAGTCATTGTTGCCATTCTATTCCTTTGTCACCAATCAGTGCTTATCCCAGTGGTGAAATGTAAATTTTGTTACTACCGGTTCTGTGGGCAGGGCTTGGTGTAGGGGCAATATGACTGAGTGGGCGTGGCCAACTTTTTTTATTTTTTTACGTTTAAAACTATTTTTCTATAACCTCTTCGGCTGAAGAGGTTGTTTAAAAAATGCTTTTAAAGCCTCTGACGACTTGCCTGATCGGCAGAGGCTTTTTCTTTTTTTTTTAAGCCTCTGACAATCGCAGCTGACTTGCCTGATTGGCAGATGCTTTTTCTTTTTTTTTAAGCTTCTGACGATCCTTGCTGACTTGCCTGATTGGCAGAGGCTTTGTTTTTACTTTTAAAAGCATTTTTTCTATAATCTCTTCGGCCGAAAAAATGTAGAAAAAATGCTTTTAAAAATTAAAAAAAAGAGCCTCTGATGATTGTACAGCTCAGCTGGGCAATTGGGGGGGGGGCAGGGATTTTTGCTACCGGTTCTCTGGACCACCCGACTCCATCACTACCGGATCAGGTGATCCGGTCCGAACTGGGAGCATTTCACCCCTTAATAACCGTAAGAAAGAGCAAACTCACTGTAAATCAATGCCCAATATTCAATCTCAAGAGGTTGCTATGGCGGCTAGGAGATAAGATCAGCCAGCATACAGTTCCCATGTTTAGATTCTGAGAAGGATAAATTATTGGGAATGATCAATTCTGCTTCTATCAAATGCCTTGGAATGTAATTGAGGTCTTATCACCTCCTCAGAAATGTTGTTGTTGTTTCTCTTCATATTTGTTTTGCCTAATCATACAGTCTGTTGGTTTTAAGCTGTGCTTGTCTAGTTCTTACAGAGGAGCTTATCAATGCTTAATGTTAAGAGGGGTTTGTTTTTCAATCATTTTTTGCTCATCCTGATTGAAGGCTCAGAGGTAGAAATTGACCCAAGATCACTGAATTGATTTCCATGCCTACAGGAAGACTAGAACCTGAGTCTTCTTGCTCCTGGTTCAACATATTACCCACTACATCACACCCTCTCTTTACCACCTTGTTAAAAATATTCCCTAAAAAGGGAATAAGGAATAGAGATAGGATGATAGTTGGAAGTCTTCTTCAAGAAAGGATGCACCACCTCAATTTCCTGAAGAAACCTAGAAAACTTCCTATCTACTTCATCAGAATCTACCAAAAGGAATGCCAAACAAATCACATTGTTTTTGTTACCACTCACATCTATGAAGCAGTGGTGGAATTCATATTTTTTACTACTGGTTCTGTGGACGTGGCTTGGTGAATGTGGCAGGGGAAGGATACCGCAAAATCTCCATTTCCCCCAACTCTAGGGGAAGGATACTGCAAAATCTCACTTTCCACCCCACTCGGGGGCCAGCCAGAGGTGGTATTTGTCGGTTCTCCAAACTACTCAAAATTTCCGCTACCAGTTCTCCAGAACCTGTCAGAACCTGTTGAATAGCCCCCCCTGCTAGAAGAATTAAATTCTGAGTGAACGTTGTTGGCCTTATTAGCAAAATTTTGCATTGTAATCTATTGCAGACCTTCCTGCCTAATAGTAGGGGACCTAATAGTAGGGGACTGATTTTGTAAAATTGATGAAGTATTTCTCTTTTTGAAATTTCAGCTCTGACTGCTGAGAAAAGAAACATGTCATAGGTGCTTCACAAGATAATCAAGAATAATATTTACTCAACCATTTTTTAAAAAAATCTGGTTTTATTCTGTTTATTTACACAAAGATGATAGATAGATAGAGACAGAGACAGAGACAGAGACAGAGACAGAGAGATGGATGTAGACCTTTACTTATGACCACAACTGAGCCCAAAAATTCTGTTGCTAAGAAAGACAGTTGCCCCCTTTTACAACCTTTCTTGCCACAGTTGTTAATTGAATCACCGCAATTGTTAAATTAGTAACACAGTTGTTAAGTGAATCTGGCTTTCTGATTGTCTTTGCTTGTCAGAAGATCACAAAATGTGATCACAGGACGCTGGGACACTACAAGCTTCATAAATATGAATCAGTTGCAAAGCGTCCAAATTTTGATCATGTGAGTAAGGGGATGCTGCAATGGTCCTAAGCATGAGAAACAGTCATAAGTCACTTTTTTCAGTGCTGTTGTAGCTTCAAATGAAATAAGTCACTAAACAAAATATTGTAAGTCAAGAATGATCTATAGATCATTCTTACCTCTTACCTTTAGAACACTGGTGGGATTCAAATAATTTAACAACTGGTTCTCTGCCCTAATGACCAGCTAGGTGGGCGTGGCCATGGTGGGTGTGGCCAGGGGTATGATAGGTAGCACTCGGCCTCCTGCACCTTCCTGGGAGCAAAAACGGGCCTAGGAGGCCTTCCTGAAACTTCCTGGAAAGTGAAAGTGGGCCTAGGAAGCCTCCCTAAAGCCTCCCGGGAAGCAAAAACAGGCCTAGGAAGCCTCCATGAAGCCTCCTGGGAGTGAAAATGGGCCATGGGGAAAGGGGCGTGCCACCATCATGCTGTGCCCCATTTTGGGCCTAGGAAGCCTCCCTGCACTTACCTGGGAGCAAAAATGGGGCACATGGGGACTCCTGGAAGGGGCAGGGTGGGAAGGGGAGGGGCCAGCCAGCAATTTAACTACTGGTTCACCTGAACCAGCTCGAACCAGCTGAATTCCACCACTGCTTTAGAATGAAAGATGACTATGACTATCTTTACATAACTGGGACATCTTCAAGTAAACCAGAATAGTTATATGGCCAAAGTTTCTATTGATGAGAAATGGTCCAATGACATTTGTTCATCACACTAACATAGGTTCAAGCACATTATTGGTAGAAAATCATAGTCTTAATTAGGAGTTACTTGAATATATTTGTATATATAAGTGATGATGTATGGACGCTCCTACAAAAATATGTCTATTACACAGGATATCAGAAGTGTATGAAGATGTAAATAAAGCATTCTGAAATAATCTGATTGCTGAAATAACTTTTTCTGGACTCTAGATATTCACAAAGTACCAGGGTAAATAAATTGATTTTGGAAATAGAAAACATCTCTAAAAGTACCTATACATCATGGCTGAAGCATATTGCTTAGCATAACATTATCAAATGCATGGTGACACAGCGATCACAATTATCCTTGGGAACCATATTCAGTCATAGTCACAATACATGCATGTCATTTTACTGCTCTTGCAGCATATTAGAAGAGTATTTAGAAGAGTATTTAAAGTTTCTGTGGTGCTGCACAATTTTTTTAAAAATCAAAAGAATGGAAAATATTTGTAGTTCAGAGTTGAAATGAGGTGTCCTTGGAGCTTGGTTGTTTTCTTGCAGATGTTTCATTACTTAAACCAGGTAACATCATCAGTGCACTGCTGATGATGCTTCTCAATTAAAAATAATAATAATAATTAAGAAAAACAACAACAAAAAAAAAACAAAAACAAAACAAAACTCTGTGGACAGTAATATAACAGAAGTGTGTCAGGGCCAATATGCGCCATTGATTTTAACAGCAACCATCAACAGATAACCTTTTGCTGGATAATACTTTTTTTCAATAAGCACAATAAATAGGATCTGAATTTATAGCTACAACCTTGTCTGGACTCAGAATTTAAACAGGGGAGACCTTAGCAATTACTTGAATGGAAATTTCCTAGCTGAAACTTTCAGGACAAAAGCCTAGATTGGAAAGTAAACAAAATAAATAAACAAATAAACAAAGAATCTGGAAGAAAGCACTGGCAAACTATTTTGGTAGTGTTATAACAAAACAGTATGGATGCTTGGTTGTATGTTACCAGGAGATGCTTGGTTGTATGTCACCAGGAGATGAGATTAACTGATAAGAAACTTTATTGTATCAATGAATGGAATAGTATAGAATCTATTAGTACTGACTTTAAAATTTAGTATTGGCTTTAAAATGTCTCCAGTTTTAGTAAAGTTTTAGTTCTATTTTGGTAGAATATTGAGACAAATGTCCATTAAAAAAAACCAAAACCAGATACCTTGGTGTTTGTCACTTGAAATGGAGCTTTTGAACCATTTGTAAAAGACGATGTCTGTCTCTCGGTTGATCTTGAAGGGATAATATTGGCAGTAGGAGACTGATTGTGCAAAACAGATGAGAGGCATAGTTGTACAGTCTCCTTCAGAGCTTTCAGCTGTGATTCCTGGGGGGGGGAGGGAATGTCACAGGATTATAAGGAATAATTTACTCAAACCAATTTCATCAAGTAAATGATCAGATACAATATAGGAAGAATAGATAAAACTATGTTCCTTATCTCAGTTGTCCAGGGACCACTCCCTGGGAAGGGAAAGGCATAGTACGACAACTGTTGCAAAAACAGCATTGGATTAGCTAGACTAATGGTCGGACAAAATGGTGGGAGTAACTCACCACACTGAAACATGGTATGGTTAGTTTGCTTTTGGCTTAGCATGTGATTTGAAACCCACAATTTATAATTTAGTGTTCAGTGTGAATCAGCTCATGGTATCTTTTTCAATACTGCATAGATGAAAGAAATAATGGCTTAGTGGGATGTTAGGACTCGACATGGTAGCTTTCACTTTTCAAAAGAAACATTAATTACATGTAAAATCAAAATTATGGTTATGTTTTTACAAGAATAAGATTTTCAGTTCTAAATTAGGGTGCCCGAAAGCTGCCTATTAATAGAGCTCGTGGATATACTCAGAAGAGGACTTACTTTGTCAAGAGCTGCTTTTTCCAATTCTTCCTTTGCAATTGCTAGTTTTTGTTCCAAGTCTGTAAGCTGCTGTGCCTGTGGGAAATTAAAAAAAAAAAAAATAGCTAGTATAAATTATGAACCAATTTTTTACCCACTAAACTCATCTAACATATCTGGAAGAAGAATAAGGTAACTAAAATAGATCAAACTCTGAGGAAAAAAATCTTGACAATGTAATAGTTTCTTTAGGGAATATCGGGGAGTGTAGAAGAAAGACATAAAAAGGAAGATTTTAAAATCCCTTTCTGATGACTATTTTATTATCAGTTTCAATGGAACCAAAATATTCCATCTTGTGCTTAAATGTTTAGAAATTTCATTGAAACACATATGTGGTAATTCTTGAATAACTTTGGATCATTGGAAGGCATTTTATTCATAAAAAAAGACTACAATTCACATACATGTGAAAAGACAACTTTTCTTCATTCTTTTTCTTAAACCAAATAAAAGAACTGAAAGAACATATGGAACTTTTCCATATGCTGCATCGTGGGTCTCCCTATTTTATTCTTGTCCATGTATTGTAATCTTGCAGGAGAAAACCAATTAGGAGTCATAATTTGAAAAAGGAAAAATAAAGAATTCCTGTCACTTTTCTTTCTTGGATACCTCTTCTCAGATTGTAAGAGGTATGTTAATTATTTAATAACTTTTTCTTCACCCCATAAATTTTGGTCTTTGCTACCAGATAGACAGTGATTTCATTTTGCATAATCAGCTGCTTTGAATACTTTGCAACATTACTGATTGCCCTCTGAGCATGAAACTACTATTTCAGTTGGCCAGTCATTTTATAAAAGATTTATGTAGACACACCATGCTTTCGAATGTGGAAAATATGCTGTTTGGGGCAAAACTGACAGTACAACATTCTGTCCACTGATATCAATGCAACATTACTAACTATGGAATTAAATTGCACATGATTGACCATGCCAAAAAAAAATATCCAGATTATATAAGAGAGGACCCTGAATAATTGGCAACTTCTGACATTAGTGAATCAATCTCTAATGCATCATGGCCATTAACACCAGCCATTCCTTATAGTGGTAAACAGAGTAATGCTCCTTGTTTGAGTTTAGTTCACTGGGACTAGAAACCTATGCTTTGAAATTAGTTAACTATTACTCCAGCAACATGATCACTTGGGTCATCTTCAGCCCATCCATGTTTAACTACCATATATGAAAGACTATTTTTTAAAAAATAAATATGACTACCACAGTAATTGGTAGATAATTGCTTTCCCCCCAAATTTAAATAATTTTATGGTTATGTCTAATGTTTATGTAAAAGAAGTGGGGAAAGGATAGTGGACCAGATGGTTATGTTGGCTATAAGAAATTCTTATACAGCATTGGACATTTTTAGCATATGAATTGCTTTGCAAGGTTTTATCTCACAAGTCATAAAGGACATTGCATTTAGGGCTCTTCGCTAAACATTGCCAAACAAGCAATTACTAGAGTCCGTTGCTAATTTTTCCCAAAGTTACCACCATCCAGATGTCTGACTTTCATATTTCCTTTATAAAATTATAGGAAGAGACAGCTTCATCCTTTACATTTTAATGTGCCATTATGATAAACCAGTGGATGGAAGAAAAAAACTGGAATGGCTTACCTTCTACCACAAATTAACAAAACATTCAAAGCAAAATAAATATAAAACTAATTTGGAATCCTTCTACAGATATGGAAAGTAAATTAAAACAGTTAAGGGAAAAATTAGATTTTTGGGCAATAGTGCAAAACTATTAAGGGATGCTTCATTTAATGAAAAATTGTGCACAGAACCTCTTGATGGCTGCTTTATAAAGCAATGTGATTCTCTGGCCAGTTTTTAAATCAAAGTGAAGTTAACACTTTTCTTCACCTTGTGTCACTCTGAGCCTCTCATCCAGTTTTTCTAGCAACTAGGAGAACTGGACAAAAAGCTTCAGATGTAAAGTACTTTGTTGAGGAGAATTGTGTCACATCCTTGACTGAACAAGAGAACTGCATTGCAGCTGTGGCCTCCAGGGTCCTTCTTTGGGTAAAACACAGCAGCTTAGTACAGGTCTAGAGATCTAGGTCCCAAAGAATTAACCAGGCTCACATGATGGCTGCTCTCAAACCATGCAAGGCTGAACTAACTTGACTAAAATTTAACTTTGTGGAATTTTCTGAATAGTTCAGTTAGCAGGTTTCAGAAATGAAAACCAGAATGAAGAGTCAAGTAAAAGTTAGGAACTGAAATGAGGGGATGTTGCTTTTTAAAATTAAACAAGAGGGATTTTTGTTTGCTGCAGAGTAGTTAGAAGAAAATGAAACATGAATAACTTCTGAATTTGTACATACATACACCAGAACAGTAATGAACTATTTGAATTTGTCCACAGAAATAGATAAGAATTTAAAACATTTCTGGTGGGCAGTTTTGTATAATTTTAGGACTACATTTGTGGCAAATATCCAGATTGACAGATTTTATATGAATCACAATGTTCTAGGTGAAGTACAGAAGTGTCCATCTTTAGTTTAAGTTTCAATAGGAAAGGTATTTTTTTTTAAAAAAAAGGATGGTAGTTCAGATATGGGGTTGAACATGAGTCCATTCATGCATATAGGTATATACTTTAGCATTTTTTGTATTTGCTAAACTGGAGGAGATCATTTTTATCAGATCTGGAGATATAATCCCCCCTCCCAATTTTCCACAGTAGCAAATGTGGCATGCCTGAAGGCCCAATGCAAAAGATGGCTTCCAGACCTGACAGGGATGACATTAAATTGGATGTGTAGCTAGCAACCTAGAAGGCTGAAATAAAATTCAAAACAATTCTAATTAGAAAAATGAGCTGAAAATAAAAATATCAAAGTTGACAGAGGAAAAAAAATCTCTGTATAAATCTTATGCACATATTTTGGATGGGGGATACCTAGTTCTTTAACAGAATTAGTGAAAAAAATATCTTGGAATAAGCTGGGGAAAAAAACATGGGAGTAAAAACCATATTTTATTATATTTTGGTCAGCCCTAACCACCAAGATCGTTTGAATGTCTAGTTATCACACCATCAGACAATAAACAGGATCATAGAAGGACAATAAAGAATATCAAGAATAATTGAATAAAGTACGGATATAATAGAACTCTTTAAATATCTAAAATGCTATAGTGCAGATGAAATTCAGAAACTGTTCTTTGTCATTCTACAGTGCAAAACATGAACAAACACCTTTACAGAAGGACAAATTCTGATTCAATAACAGAAATAGCTTCATAGAATAGTTTGATGGTGGAATCAAAAGTTTCCCCAAAAGATGATGGCATTGCTTCACTGGACATATTTAAATGGTGACTAGATGTTCATCTTTCCTAAATATTTTCCTTTGGATTCCTGACTAAGTGGTTGTACCCAATGACTTAGATAGTTTGATCACCCAACGGTCAAACCATTTTCTAAAGCACCAAAAGGCAAAGCAAGAAACGATGGATGGAAACTAACCAAGGAGAGAAGCAACCTAGGTTCAGGAGAAAATTTCTAATCGTTAGAGCAATTAACCAATGCAATAGTTTGACTTCAAAATGTATGGGTGATCCATTACTGGAGACTTTCAAAAAGAGACTGGACAATCATTTGTCTGAAATGGAGGTTGAACTAAAACCAAGGTCCTTTCAACTCTCTAAGTCTATGTTCTAAATGGTTGTTTTCAATTCTATGAACTATGCAGTATTGGCCATTTAGACAATCAGAAGGATTGCAGGGTTTTTAATGTTACATGTTTGAATTTTTAACTGCTGATAGGTAAGCTCCACTTACTACTATGAATTGGTGCACCATACCCATGGAAGTTAATTGGTGCAAATGGGTTTGAATGTTTTTGCTAATATTTTTTTAAACAATATATTCTTTTTCTACATCTATTGATATACAGTGTATACACAATTTAAAACAGTCAACTGTGAGAGGAGGCAAAAGTCAATAGATTTCACTGGCATTGCAAGTTAGTATTCTCATACTAATTCTCATACTAAGTACAGTGGTCTAAGGCACCCTGTTATTAAGCTGGTTATTAAGACCAGCTGCCTGCAATTACTGCACGTTCGAATCTTGCCAAGGCTCAAGGTTGACTCAGCCTTCCATCCTTTCTAAGGTAGGTAAATTGAAGACCCAGTTGTGGGGGCAATAAGCTGACTTTGTATAAATATACAAAAGGATGAAGGCTATTGCTGAGCACATTGTAAGCCGCCCTGAGTCTCCGGAGAAGGGCGGCATATAAATTAAATTTTAAAAAAAAATACTTGCATATTTAGTATGAGAATATCATACTAGGGAAGTTTGAATAGAGATGGTAAAATAAAGTGAATTTCTTAATTCTCTTGCTGGCAAAACATCCAAAACTTCCATTACATTTTTCTTTTCTTAAAAATCTATCATACTTACAAAATTATTTTATAATTTCATAGGCAATTTGGTTTACTTTGCCATGTAATTTTATAATTAAAAAGTTAAAGGTTCCCGTCGCATATATGTGCTAGTTGTTCCTGACTCTAGGGGGTGGTGCTCATCTCCATTTCAAAGCTGAAGAGACGAAGACGTCTCTGTGGTCATGTAGCTGGCATGACCGACAAGGTCGACTCAGCCTTCCATCCTTTCTAAGGTGGGTAATATGAGGACCCGGTTTGTGGGGGCAATAAGCTGACTTTGTATAAAATATACAAAAGTATGAAGGCTATTGCTTAACGCATTGTAAGCCGCCCTGAGTCTCCGGAGAAGGGCGGCATATAAAAATAAATAAATAATAAAAAAAAATGACTAGACACCAAAGGCGCATGGAAAGCTGTTACCTTCCCACCAAAGATGGTCCCTATTTTCCTACTTGCATTTTTTATGTGCTTTCGAACTGCTAGGTTGGCAAAAGTTGGGAAAAGTAACAGGAGCTCACCCTGTTATGTGGCACTAGGGATTCGAACTGCTGAACTGGCTGACCTTTCAATCAAAGTTCCTCTAATTTAAGATATTTATACATATAAGCAAAAAA